AGAGAGAGAGAGAGAGAGAGAGAGAGTAGCGACCTGGGTAAAACATGAGCGAGTTGAGGTCGATTAAAGTACACGGAGGAGATGTGATCTGGGGATTTGGGAGAGGAGGGGAGGGGTGGGGAAGGGAGGGGCCAAACGCCGTCCTCACTCTTTATCTCCATCGAATCCCCTTTGAAAATGTTGGTCATGACCTTATTTCTGGAAACGATGGTAGATTGGTCGTAGTCAGATCAATAGACCTCCATTTAATTTCCCACCTTTTTGTTTTGAGTGAGATTTTTACGGCACTTGCAACACAATTAGGTCATACGAGTACCATGTATTGTAGGTGTTACAAAAGAGCAACAAACACAAACAGGAGGAGAGATAAGGACGGTACATGTTTGATGTTTGTCAGTGAAGAAAGAGACGATAACGAGTGTATTTGTTGTTGTTTTTCAAGATAGGCACCTTTCATTTTTTAAAATCCAAACCATTTACTTCCGTTAATTCTTCTTGTTGAGGAAGGGAGGAGAGAGAGAGGGGGGGGGGAGGAGTGGAGGAAGAGTTTAAGGGAGACTCTGGGTCAATGATATCACATCTGAGGATTGTATTAATTTACGTAAGAGATCTACGCCACATGCAACAATAATGGGTCATATAAGTGCTGGAGGGGTCTCTACATAGTATGATAGAAAGAAACGAAAGAGGAGAGATGAGGAAAATAAATGTTTGATAGAAAAGAAGTAGCAAACCACACCACAGCACCCGCCAACCAACCACCCACGATGATTGCATACTGGCAAAATACACCCAGAAAATAAGCCCGAGCTGCCAACGCAAAAAAGGAGACGCCGCTAAACAATTCAAATCTAATACTAGAAGAAACACCGCCAAATCAAATATTTAAAAAGAAGATAAGGAAGTAAAGTTGCAAACAAACTATCGACCAACCCGGCATTACAATCCTAGCGGGACTTTTCCCTCACTGTCCGCCAGCCTTGCCAGGAACGGGGTAGTACACGCAGATATTTCCAGCCATAATCCAATTTGCAGCTGGTCTGCTTGTGGGGAAAAAGCAATCAATCGCAATGCTGGGGGAGCTTGTTCGCGCTCTGCCTCTTCCCTGACACTTCTTTTTCTGTGTTTTTCCCCTCTCTCTTCTTCTTTTTCTTCTTCTCCTTCTTTCCTTTTTTTTTACTCCCTCTCCAAACGAGGTGGTTATTTATCAATATTTCAGATGCGAGTAAAATTGAATTCTAGGGTTAAAAAAGAACGGTGGCATTTCGCTCCTTCGCGGGCAACTGTCAGTATTTCCGGCCAAATTATGGATTTCTGTTTAAATCAGGGGGGAAAGATAACGTAATTTGAATAAGATAATCAACTATCTATTCTGGTTAAGAATGTGGATACGTAGGGGCAAAATAGGACAACGCAAAATCAATGCAGAATCTCAACCCTTTATGAAAAATCCAGTTGTGACAATACTGATTGTAAGAGCTATACGCATTAGCACACAATTAGATCATGCAAGCGCTAAAGATTAAAATAATTTTTTAAAGCAAAAAGCACCCCCAAAATAACGCCAAAAAACAACAACAACAACAATAAAAAAGCCCCCAAAAGATAC